GACAATACCTTTTGGATTATGTCTATTTTGTATGAGTCTCGATCGATTGACCTTTCCTCTTTCGGTTCAAGAGTCAATTAAAATAGACTATAGGATTTTTAGTCATCTAGTCTATTCTGATCGTGATCGTCACAATAAACACATCATATTCAATTTGAAAACAAGTTTAACATTGAAGTGTCACTCTTCAATACTTAGAAATCAATTGCAAGGTTGAATTGTCACTTTTCAACAATATGTCATTCCAAAGTAAAAATCAAAAACCGAATTTAGAATTAACTCATACAAAATGAACAATCGACGAGTACGATAATCACATACGAAATCAAATATTCATCCCTATCCCTAGCAAATGATTTAATTATTCATATCAAAAATAAACTAAACATAAGATTCGTTGCAAATTATCATTACAAGAAGAACAACTTACAAGTAATCCAAGTTGATGAATAAGGTTGATACAAACGCCAAACCGAGAATAAATGCACACCAAATAAAATACAAACTTCTCCAAAATTCCTTCTCCTAAACACTTCTTTCTCAAGACAAGTATTTAAGAGAGGAATTAAAGATTAGAATGTTACATGAATCATCTCAAACTTAAAAAAACTCTCCCCAAATACAACATACAATAAAAAGAGAAGAAAATAAAAAGAAGAAGAAAATGAAGAGGGAAGAGGGGAAGAACCCCTCTTGGTTCAAGCATGCATGGAAGGTGAAAAAATGGTGAATTATGGGTTGCCAAATGATGTTGGATGATGATAGATATATAGAGACTCGAAGAGAGTGAGTAGATCATCTTCCTTAGCATTATTAGCATATTTTTAGGCTGGAAATTCGGTCCCAAGTCTTCCGCCACTCTCAACCACCATGAAAATAGGCCAGAAAATGAGGTATCAGATGTCTGCCAGCCAAGTTAGCGCCGCTAATGGTTCTTACCGCCGCTAAGAAAAAACTGCACTGCGCTACTTCACGGTTTTGGCTCGTTTGGGCTCGTCCTAACACGGAATTGAGTTCCGTTTTTTCCTACGCGTAGCTAACGAACCCCTTTATCCAATGATGCTTGCAAACCACACTTTTTCCCAGAGTACAAATTATGTGGGATTTCCAACCTTTAAAGGGTCGGTAACTTGCACGGCTTCGCGTTTTGGTTCTGTCCGGATTCATCCGAACTCGAAATCAAATTCCATTTTCTCCTATGTGTAGCCAACGAGTCCATCTACATAACCATGATTACCCGGTCTATGTATTTCCCTCATGGTGCCTTCGACCTGCACACAAATAACAAGAAGAAAAACGGGAAAAACACACGAAAAACACAAAGAAAACCAAAATGGAACAAAATACATAATAAAACACAAAACGAACTAAAAACCAACTTAAAGACCTAAAATGGAGGAAAAAGAATGATAAAACAATAACAAAAATTGCAACAAAAATGGACACAACAACTCCCCCACACTTAAGCCTTTGTTCGTCCCGAACAAAGAGAAAATAAAACAAAGTACGAACATGGGTATCGGTTTCAAATAAGTCATGCTTCAAAATGTTTAACTCTATCGAGTCGAATTCCAACAACCGTACGACCATATGCCTCAAATATCAACTCGGCCTTAAAATGATAACTCTCAAAGATAATCATATATGCCTCACTCATTTTCTTGTTCGGATATGTGATGAGTTCGCTCAAAATTGGTCGATATTCTCGTTTCAACATATGCTTGCCAATCGTCTAAATTACTCGAAATCTGCCAAAGCTCAAAATGTTGGAATCAAGAGGACTTCTCGGGTTGTAATGTGGTTTGTAGGTACAGGTAATAACATATGGGCAAGAAGCTCAAATAAATAATCAAAGTTCTCGAGTAACAGAATACTCGAATGTCCGCCACTCGACTAAAATCATACTATCCCCCAATGTCTCCACAACCAACACATAAATGCTCCAAACGAATTGCAATATTGCTTGACTTATTACACATTTTTTTATTATTTTTTATTTAGAGAGTTACTATTTCCGAACAAGCTCGAATCGCAAGGACAATATTCCTTAGGTTTAAACATTGGAGGTCATCCAAGTGTCCTAAGGTGGTTTCCCAGTACTCATTACTCGTTAAAATGAATAACATGTAAGCTGTAACACCCCGACTTATCAGAGTAAATTTTTTTCGCAAC